AGCCACCGCGCCCGGCCTTAGGTTTGTTTTTGTATATAATGTCCTGGGGGTTTTAGTTGTATTTAGTGGAAGGAATAGGGAAAAGTGTGTTTACTCTATCTTTCTGGAAGCAGAAATCTCTGCCTATCTTTTCATATCATTTCTGTTTTTCCTGTTTAATCACAAAAACTGAGAAAAAGTTTGGTCAACAAACTGTACTAATGACATTTGTGATGTTTATTTGGCACTTGGATTTTTGAATCTTCTCAGATCTTTATTGCCCTTGCTTGCCACTGAGGAATATTCCTTGCCTACTTTGTTTTTGAGTCAATGATGTTAAAATATTAGTAAAATATGTTTTCTATAATGGAATAGAAAACAATTGAACACATTTTCCATCACAAATTACACTGAGGTTGAGCTCTTAGGACCATGGATTATTTTTTAACCACCATTTTATTCTTAAATATTTCTTTTAGAAAGCTTCTGAAACAAAACATTAATAGGGGTCACCACTTGGAATGGGACTTAGAGGAGGAGGAGTAAGACATGACTATTTGAATTTCTCTACCATGTGTCACTACATTTTTTTAAAGTTAAAACCATAACTTGAGAACATTAACTGTATGACAGGCACTGTACTACCCTGTAAGGAAGCTTTTCACATTCCTCATTTTACATCAAAACTGAGGTTTAAAGGGCTTATCCTCACCACCAATTGTGGTATGTGGCTTGGTTGCCAAGATCAGATACCCACTCAAGCCACCTTAGGTGGGGAAGGACCTAGCTTAACTGTTTAGGGTCTGGTATCTGGAGTCAGAATGCTTTGAGTTTGACACACAGCTCTCACTTAAGTACCTCGGACAAATACTTTAATTCCTCACACTTTGGCATCCTCATATGTAAAATGAGAATACTAATAGCATTCATAAGGTTCTTCAGGACTAAATGAGATCTGTGTAAGACACTTAGAACATGCCTGGCACTCAGTGATGGTGGTGGTGAGTTTTACCATGTATAGGTTCTAGCCCTAACTTTACCTGAATTTGTAGTTCTAGTGTCCAACACCTGATGTACAATAATTTCTATATCTCTTAATCCAAATTCTAGAGCAAAATCATCTGGCTCGCCTTGGGTTAGGTTTTCACCCTGGTCAAGTCAGCTATGACTACTAGGAAGCAGAGTCTCCTGCACAACGCGGCCCCCTAAGCCCACCCTTTTAGCAGGGCTGGGGGCAATGACCTGGGCCAGGCAGGTTACCTGAGTATGTGCACTAGATTGACACATAATAGAATTTAAATTCGTTTGATTTTATTTTTTAAGCTTTCCATAGTTTCTAAATATTTTGAAATGAATCAAAGTAATATTTTTTATTTTGAAAAAGGAAAATGTCATTCTTCTAAATTCATTTCTCTGTGTTATAATAGTACTTCGTCTCTCTAATAGGTTAATACGCAGAGCCTGTACAGTAATCTTATTTATTTTTCAGGTTACAGAATACCTGTATGCTAATAAAATGGCTTTCCGATACCCAGAACCTGAAGACAAGGCCAAATACGTTAAAGAAAGAATATGGCGAAGTGAATACGATTCCCTGCTGCCAGATGTGTACGAATGGCCAGAATCCGCATCAAGCCCTCCGCTGATAACGGAATAGAAGCACTCCCACTGTGAAGTTTTTTCCATGCTTTAGAGGGAACCCATTTTTTCAGACAAAAAGAGATAATGTTCTGAGATTTGTGGTGTTTTCTGTGTTTTATTCTCCCCCACCACTTTGCTTGACTTACTTTTCCCCATGGAGACAGATGTGTTGTTAATGCCCACCAGTACCCTTCAATCAAATAACCACGATGCTTCAATTCTAATTTATAACCTATGCCACATCTAAGAGATGTTAAAAATATATTTGTGAATGTCTTTACTTAATAGTACTCTTATTCACACTTGGCAAAGTATTTGCTTCTTACTGTTATAGGTAATAATCTTTTCTCACCTAGTTCTTTTAAGGCTACTAAAATAGAAATTTACTTTTATGGATGTGAGTACAGAATTCTGAGAGGAAGCCAAATTTCAACCAAATTCCGAGGAAAAATTGTCATCCAAAAATATTCTCTTAATGTCTGTTTTATCTTTCCTTCATGTACTAAAATTCCCTTATAGTAGACAGATCTAGGGAAATATGAAAATTTTACCCTGTTATTTTCTGGAACTAAATCAAGGCTTAATTATAACATTATGAGAGAGTAGTGGGAACTACCGCTGCCTTTAGACAGATAA